AGTCTTAATTTCCCACAAATATGGTTTGTCCAACACACAAATTCACCCACAAGTATGTGTGTACTGTTTATAATACCTGATATGATAAGTGAGTCTTTAGTCTCTTAGGCCAGGACTTTCAAACTCTAAGACTTCTAAGAGTTATGATCCCACCCCATAGAGACCCTATCTTAGTCATTTTTTCTATCACTGGGACCAAATATCCAACATTCACAATTTAAAGGACAGATTTATTTAGGCTTATGTTTTCAGTCCGTGGTTGGCTGGCTACAAGGTAGAAGGGTATGATGGAAGAATCTGGCAGAGGAAAGCTGCTCACATCATGATGGGCAAGAGGCAAAAAGAGAAGGGAGGATCTGGGGAGGAAGAGGTACCCTTCCAAGTTGTGCCTCCAGTGGTCCGCCTCCAGCCAGGCCTCACCTAACAGCAAGTCAGTTACAGAAATCCAGTCACCTTCCAAAAGGCGTACCTGTGAACACATGTGGCTTTAAGGGAACATTCTAAATATAAATCTAAACTAAACTAAAGCAGATTCAGTGTTCTAATGTGCATATTCAAACCTATTGTCAAAAGTATGTAACATTTGGCAAGATCAGTAATATCTATGGATATACTATCTGAACTACTTGAGGACTTACCCACTATACAAAGCAGTAAAGTCTGATAAGATTCAACATTATTTCTCTTAAGGAGATAAGGTTTTGTCAAGTAGCTCCTTCAGAGATACCGAAGAGGTGACCAGGAGGGTAGAGAAAAAGAAGTAAAATCTTTATAGGTAAGTTGAATAATCTTTCTATAAGCCTCAAGAGAACTTTGACATAGGAAACAAATTTAGTAACGTTCAAAGGGCCAAAGAGCAGGCCCATTACGGCATCAGGGTGAACTGATTTTGTAACTTGTAAAAGAACACAAATTCCTTCATATACCAGATGGTTATTCCCAGTTAATGAGCGGGACAGTACCACGTAACAGTGAGCTTCTGAGCTATGACTTAGGGGTTCCCTCTGATCTAAGACTCCTCAGATCTTTGTTGTGGCCTCAGAGAGACCAATCACTTGGGAGCAACAAAGCAGAACCATACTTACAGTTCCATACCCACTTACAAAACAACTAGGTGTATCTCTACAGCGGTGCTATGATATATTTCCCTCGCTATCATAAGGTTTAATTCTTTTAGGAACCTTATTTTATGTCATCCTAAGGTCTACTTTCCACTTCATTCTATGTGAGAAGCTGCTAAAAATTCTTTATTATGGCCCAATATGTTGGATCTCCCCACTCAAGCAGTGTAAATGCAAATTCAACAGCCCTGCAGTGCAGAGAGACAAAAAAGAATCTCTGCTATAAGTAAAGGAGACTTGCTCTGGCTAGACCAAGACTAAAGGGTATTAATCCACCCAGTATCTAATCAATGGATGATCTCTATGAAAGCTAATTTCTTCTATGAGCAAATTAAATGATAAATCATTGTTTTCTCCCACCATAAGTATTAAACTGTCAACTTTTACACCAGGCATCAGCTTTTAAAACATAGCATCAGATAGCACTGTATGGGTAAAGAAGATGAAATCTATAAATAGATCAATGTCAGAAGGGAAAGATTAGAGGTATAGCTCAGTGGTGGAGCACGCATGAGACACTGGGTTCATTCTCCACCAAAATCAAAAGTGTTGAATCTGTGACAAAAGCAAAATCAAACAAACCGCAAATCCCTGCACTGCAGAGGTGTCGAATTTGCATTTATACTGTTTGAGTTTGTTGCACAATCTGTATTTACACCCAGTTCACAGACTTCTGTCAGGTGACTTCTTCAAGGTTATATCTCATTGAAGGGAAAGCACACTAAGAACTCCAACTCAGACTTCCCACTTCAGCTTTCCTTAATCACATCTAGAACACTTTTCCCCAAAACACCTGATGGAAAACATCCTGTCACAGATTGAACAACACCTTGAAGGCTGATAATCAAGGGGAAATGGAGCTGCCTGGGAAGGTTACTGATCAGGCCTAGAGCGTTCATCTCCCGGTTATTATCTTCCTTCCCACATCATTGCACTGTCATGGTCTAAGCATTTTAATTCTTTTCTTACCCAGTCTCTCTCTGTCTCTCTCTGTCTCTCTGTCTCTCTGTCTCTCTGTCTCTCTGTCTCTCTGTCTCTCTCTCTCTCTCTCTCTCTCTCTCTCCCCTCTCTGTCTCTCTCTGTCTCTCACCATGTGTTATTGCTACTTTACTATTTCAAGTTTCTCTCCAGCAGAGTAAATCTTTACTGTCCTAGTGCCTGGTGTTGGGTTTTTCTCTCTGATTCCCTCTCACCTTCCAGGGGACCAGCTTCCCCTGCCGCCCTCTGCGCACGTCTCACTTGATTCCTCCCACTCTCCAATCTTCATCACTTTTGTACCTCTACTTCCTCCCTTCCTCCCTCTCTCCCACTTCTCTTGGAACAGTGCGCCTGAATTTCTTGCCTCCACCAAAACTGTATGGCTTTTCTCTCTCTGCTGAAGGGGGAAAAGCCGTGAAAACCCAAAATGCCATCTTTCATCTTATTTCCTATTTCAAGCACATTTTCTATTTATAACTCTGCCTCCCTCGTAGCAGATTGACACAGCACTCCGCTTGGTTCCCAGAATAAATGCAGTTCAGGAATGGGAGGCGAGTCCACGTCCCAGGATTCTTCTGCAGCCGAGCATTGGTTAGGACTTTTCCTGCTAGTGTTGGGGAAGTATCTCTGCTGGCAGCAGTGCTTCCTTTAGCTCATCGTTTACTGTCCTGGAATCTGATTCCATACAGGGTTTCCCTCCTGGAATACGTCCTGTTCTGATCATGTCTGGACCATTCTTATATTGAGTATTTTGATTCCTCAAGCATTTACTGAGTGTGCCATAAAAGAGAATTAAATCATATTTTTGGGCAAATTAATGAGTGTTGGCATATTAATTAAATCATAAACTGAACTTGGGGGTAGCTAACTTAGAATTATGGTGAATCCACAAAGTAAATGATACATGTAAACATTCACATTTTAAAGTTAAAGGCCAATTAATTTTATACCCAAGTCTCTGATGTTCCTATCACCAAATCATTTTAGTCTGAATGAGTGACATTTACTGTACCTTCCCTTTTACAAGTCGTGCTCTACCTAAATTATTTTATTTATTCATAACCTCTGAAATGAGTATTATTATCCTCATTTTGTGAGTGACAAAACATAGATTCAGGCAATTGAGCAGCTTTCCTTTGTCACATGAGCAGTAAGTGGGCAAAAATGGGTTTGACTCATTTTCTGACTACAGCTCACTTTAAAAACTAAAAAAGAACTTGGAGATTCTGAACCCAGCATCGGAGGAACACGTGCTGCTGACCTCTGATCTGATCTATATTTCTTTAAGTATTTCTTTTTGAACATAATAGTTGCTCAAACAAATATCGGTGACATTAAATTATTGAATTACCATTTTAGACTAAAATGTCTATTTATACAATGCTAGGGTATTTTTCATTATGCCCACACAGATATAAAATGTAAGATTTTATATTTTTAGGGGAGCAGAGATCCTCAAAAACACAATCCCTAGGGCCACCAAAATCATAAGGTATCCCTGGTCACATACTCTACCCGGTATTGTAGTTTCCAAGCCCTTCTTTGAAATCACCAAGATGGTGCGTGGGCCAAAAGTTGTTTCTTCTTTCTGCTATTGCCAAAGCAGAAAGAACTAAAATCTAAATCAGCTGCTGAAAAGTCAACGAAGCTCATGTCAGGAAGGTTATCAGGTAGGGGCATAAGAGTCAACGTTCTTTGTCTTCAAGGAGAACAACCATGGGATGACACCTTGGCAGCAAAGACAGGTAAAAGCTAAGAGAAACCTTGTAAGACAGTGGGCCAGGCCACTGAGGAAGATGCCACACTTTGCCAGAAGTCCCCTATCTCTCTGGGATGAACCAGAACTGCAAGCCTGCAGAAGTACTGGGAGCTGCTTTTCACCATTTGGGGCCACAGTAGTGAGAGGCTGTCTTCAGAAACTGCCACGTTCAGTAGCATCCTCTCTCAAGTATTGTAGAATTGTCAGTTCCCTTGATTGCTCTCTGATGCATAGCTTTAATTGTACCTTTGCTTTTATGTAGAGAATAGAATCATGCTCCCAGGAGGATAGCTGGGAAAACCCACTTCCGGCCTGGAATACAGATGGGAGCCTACAGAACCCATGCTTCCTGAGTGGGCAGGGAGAGAATAAGCAAGGATGGCAACCTAAAAAGACTAGAGTGTGATGGCAAACCTTTTAGAAATTGAGTGCTCAGACTACAACCCCAAACCCACTTATTTATTGCAATTAAACCTGAATGTTCAATGCTTGGCTGCTGAGGTGATTCAGCTCATGTGCCAACAGAGGGCTCTGTGCGCCCACTGATGCATGTGTGGCATAGGTTGGCCACCCCTGGCCTGGGGTTTATGCCCCTCTTGTCCTCTTGTAAGGAGCATAAACAGGAGCCATATTGTTCCTGAGGTGAGTAAATTGCCTTCAGGGAAGAGTTGGGTGGTGCTGAACATCTGCGGTCCCCTAGAAAGCTGTCCCACACCCCCACAGGAGGTGCCATGGCTCTGGGAGAACTAACACCACTGTTGATATAACTGCTCGTTGCCTTCCTCAGTTTTTCATACATGTTTCTATGCAACTGATATCATACATAAATTTTTCAACTTGTCATTTTCAGTTAACTAAACATTTAAGGGAAGGGTATGGTAATAAAATCCGAATGTTTTACACTTGAGGAACTACATCACGTAGAAATGACAGCCGTTCAGATACTCCTGTCCCATCTCATGGTGTGATGCACTCATTTACACAACTTCATAAAGCAAAAAGCAGTGGTTGGTTCTGGGAGACAGGATTAAGGCAGCTGGGGTTTTGTTAAATTTGTCAATTTCTTACATGTTCCAGAACTTCAGAATAAACCAGTATTACCACTTTCATAGTCAAAAGAAAATAAATGTTTCCTCTTTCAGCTGTTGCATCAGAATGAGCTGCAGAAGAGCAAGTGACCCAGGTTTGTCTCACTGCGCCACCTGCAACCTACCTGTGAAGCGGATAATCCCCCTGGGCCCTTGCTGACTGGAAGGCCATCAATATCACATGGAGAAAGTGGCAGCACTCTAGGCAAGGTGAAGAGGTAAACAGCCCACCCAGAAGACCCACAGCTGCTCCCCCAGAAAGACAATGTTCACTTTTCTTGTGATCATGACCTTCCAACCTGGGGACTGCTGAGAACAGATTGGAACATGTAGGCATCTTTAGACTCTGTGAAAGGAGCTAAGCCACCTTCTCTTCCCACCATTTGCCCACTGTACTTACTGGTCTTATTCATTCATTAAGTAGAGGAGATCCAGCCTAGGAGTCCACAAAAATACTCTCATATATAATACAATGTATTTACCATAATGCCAACACAGAGCGTGTATTTGAATCCAGAGCCTTATATGTTGCATTAGGCAAGCACTCTACCACCAAGCTCTCTCTCCAGCTGTGTGTGTGTGTGTGTGTGTGTGTGTGTGTGTGTGTGTGTGTGTGCATGTATGTGTTACTGGGACTTGACTGCAGGGCTTTCACACTGACCTACATTCTCAGCCCTCTTTTCCTCCTCCTCCTCCTCTTCCTCCTCCTCTTTTTCTCCATCTCTTTATTTTCTCCTCCTCCTCCATCTCCATCTCCATCTCGAGCTCCAGCTCCATCTCCGGCTCCAGCTCTTCCTCCTCCTGCTCCTGCTCCTTCTCTTTCTTTTTCACTGTCACTATGCCCATGCTGGGTTCAAACTTGGGATTCTCTTGCCTTAGCTTCCCACAGATTATATCTCACCACATCCAACTCCCAGAACTTTTAAAAAACTATTTATGTTGAGACAGGGTCTTGCTAAATTATCTGGGCTTGCCTGGAAGTTTTGATTCTCCTGCCTCAACCTTTGATGAAGCTGGCATTACAAGCATGCACCACCATGCTGGCTAAGTTTTATCTTTTTAATGGGGAGGACCACAAAGACAAAGTTGCCACAGGCCCACAAAAAAACATGAAGTAGTTCTGATCATTTATCCTCTATCAGTTTCATTGTTTCCTTCAATGAAATGATCAAGGTGGATTGTGGATTCTCCTCTTCATCATTCTGGCACAGGAAACTGGGATTTTTGGAATGAAAATAGCTAGAACCATGAAGTTAAACTGAGACCTCCCTCCTCCGAGCAGAATCAGGCAGATGGAGCCATGCTTAGCAGGGAGCAGAAATTGCTTTCTTTAATTGCCCACACAAATAACCATTACCACACTGGAAAGATAAAAAGCAAAAACTCTAGACAATAACTTGGCATATCCCCTTTTGTTAGAAATTATTATCCCCTCATTCTATATAATAAGGTTTTTAGGAAATATGAACACTTCCTTTCAAATCTCTGGCCCTTCTTTTCAAATTAGAGTTATAAATAAATAAGTACAATTTGCACACCATTTGATTACATCCTTGTATTTTACCAAGATTCCCTGAGGAGGCACTTATACCAATTTTTACATCATTAAATATTTAAATAAAAACTCAAGGAAGTGAATCATGGGACAAAAGGCATTTATTAAGCACTTATTTGGGCACAGTGCAGCACCAGTCTTTAGGCTTACGGAGCAAATAGGACATTAATTCCCTGCATACCAACAGCAAAGAGTTTGAAGGAAGACAATATCAGTTCCAAAGGAAGAAGAAAATTAGAGACTCTCAGGTTTACTTGGATCCTTTATTTAGCAGCCACAAATACTAGAATATCATCAAGAATCGGGGTGTAAGCTGAACCAAGCATGGGAGCAGTGAAACTCAAGTCTCTGAGCCCAAAGTTTAGCCAGTTCAGAAATGATGTGGAAAAGTTACTGAGTTCAAGTCTCCTCAAGTAACTGTTGTATGGAAGAAAATAACTAAATTCACTTTTTTTCTGAAATCTGGTATTTTTTAACATATTTTATCAAATTTTCATTAGTAAACATTTACTGAGCATGGCAATAGCCCAGGAGAGTATAAAACAGACTCAGTCCCCAGGAGTTTGCATTATAATTGTGGAACACAGAAAATAGTAGAGGTACATGGGTCCCAGCTGTATCAGGGCATGCCTACACTGACCAGAAAGAAAGCACATGTAATGTTGGACCTGATGAGAGCAGGGGGCTAAAAAGATTAGTGTTAAAAAGAAGCCAAGTATTTTGCATCAGGATAATCTCAGGAAATGGCCAGATGCTACCCATGGCAGGCTCAGCGGTATAAAAGGTGTTCCTTTGAAACACTTTTCTTCAAGAAGAGAACCCCAAGACTCCCTGCTTACTTTGAGGTACCTAGAAAAGTGTTTCCCAGGGCTGGGCCATCTAAGCACTCAAAGGCCAGCTGTGGTCTAAGGGGGCCAGGCTACTTTTCAAGCTGGAAGCAGATCTAGTGTTATCATGTGGGGCTGAATGACAGGGGAGTGGTCCCAAATTCAAGTTCCACATGAGAGAAGAGAGAAGAGGGAATCCGCAAGGGACAGTGTCCGTGAAGATCTGGAAGAAAGCAGAGGGCACAGTCAAGAGAGTTTAGCAAAGGAAATGTTTACTGAGGAGTGGGCAGCGTTCAGCAAACCAGTCACAGTGTGGACTTAGGAAGACAAAGGGTGCAGCGATGCTCCTGGAGCACCATGAGAACTGTTCATGGAATAGGGGGGCTGAATGGAAGTGAGGCCATAAAGGCAAGGCGAGAAGCTCAGGGTGGGGCCTGAGGGGTAAATACCCCCCTCTGATCATCTTCTGGTGCCTTCTAGTGATCAAACCAACCAGACCCCAGACAGCAAGGGAGGCCTGAGGAACTCAGGATTGAGAAGACTAGAGATTAGACCTGGAGGCCCAACTGGAGAGGAGCCAGCACTCGGGCTGGAGATCTCGCTATGGGCTTGAGAGACGAGGGGGAGGTAGACGTGTGAGCTGTTTTCTTCAGCAAGGAAGCTATATATGCAGATTGGAATGGACATAGATTTGTCCATTTCAGCAAGTCAACTTTGGGCGTATGATACTTCTTTTGGGGAGGAGCTGTCCTCTCCAAGATGGTTAGCAGCATCCCTGGCCTCTATTAGTGTGTGCCAATAGCAGCCCACTCCCAGTGGTGATAACCAAAAATGTCACCACACCCTGCCACACATCCTCGGGGAGCCCAGAACTGCCCCCTGTTGAGAACCACTGGGACAGAAAAAGGATTGTGGTCAGAAATCTGCTGAAGCAGACAGGAGACACTGTGTGCACACACGGCCCCGAGGACAGGGAGTCCGGGAACTTAAGGACAATGGCAAGACTACAGATAAGCAGCAGATGGGCTGGCTGAGGAGAGTCAGGGAGCTGGGGTGATTTTCTAGTGTACAGTGGGGTAACTGGGGAGAGAACACCCCGCTGAAGAACCAGGAGTGCCTGAGGCTGCCCAGGTGAATGCGGCACATGTGTCTTTTGTGGACTGCTTTGCAGGAAGTCTGGGATGCTCAGTCAAGCGCCTGAGATGAGGAAGACAGTGGGGACAAGGGGTGTAGATCACAGTCAACTCCCCAAAGACATAGCTGGAAAACTTTCTACAGGAGGACAGTCCTCATAAAGAGAAGGCAGAAAAAACCAAGAACTGAGGTTTTGGGTGGTTTTTTCCTTTTTTGGGGGGTGGGGGAGGAAGGGGATGATATACATATTTAGATGATGAATAATGAGGAATAGAAATAGAAGGCTCTGGAGGCAGAAAAACCAGGCGGTTTTCTGGGGGATGAGGGTGGCTAACGTCCAGCTCCTGTCACTCTTGCCAGGCCATATGTCCAAGAGGTTACGTCTGCTCCAGGGCCACCTCTGCTAATGGTAATGAATGTGTCCCCTAGGCTGGGGCAGGGGCAGCCCTGAGGAGGATGTGAGCAGCAGAGGACACAGTGTCAAGGAAGGATCCAGGTCCACCTCCTATACCCCTTTCTTATCACTCAGGTCCTAAGAAGTAGAGTGATGGGGCGGACATTTTCAGGATGTGTAACAAAGCTCTGTCCTCCCTAAGTGGCTGAAGGTGTTCTGTCCTCTGAAGGGTCTGGAGAAAAGTATACCTACGAGGCTGCAGGAGGAGAGAGGGACCCAGACCCCGAGGACAGCCGCGCCTGCGGCCTCAGTGGTCTCTCTGAAGGGAGGTTCTGGCTATTCTTGTCATTTTCCTCACAAAGAGGCATGCGTGGTAGGCAGAATTCCAGGATGGGCTCCACGGTCCCCTTACCTTGTGCATGTGCCCTGTATCATCTCATCCCTTTTGAGTGTGGGTGGGACCTATGAACAAGATGGCATACCATGCCTGTGATTAAAATTATACCGAAAAAGGAAATCTCCAGATGTTATCAAGGTTTATAACGGATTGACTTTGAGTTAGTCAAAAGTCATCCGGGGTGGGCCTGACTTAATCAGATGAAAATTTTAACCAAACAAGAGACAACAGTAGACAGCCCTGCTGGCCTAGAAGGAAGTAAGCACCATGTTATGAGTTTCTGTGAGAAAGTCATATAAGGAGACCTGGGGGTGGCTTCTGAGAACTGAGACCAATTGCTGGCCAACAGCTAGCAAGGAAATGGGGATCTCTAACCCCAGACACTTGGGAGGCTGAGGCAGGAAGATTATAAATTTGATGCCAGCCTGAGCAATTTAGTGAGATTTTGTCTCAAAATAAAAATTAAAAAGGGCCAGTGCCTGGGATTAGCTCAGCAGCATAAGCACCTGGCAAGCGTGAGGTTGTGAGTTTGATCCCTGGTACCAAAAAAATTTTAAAAATTAAAAAAAAGGGCCAGGGATTTAGCTCAGTGATGTAAGTGTCTGCTTGGCAAACACAAGGTCATGAGTTCAATCCCTGTACAAAACAAAAAACAAAAGGCCAGTGTTAGGAAAGGGGAGGGGAGGAGGGGGGAAGGGAGAAAGGAAAAAGAAAACAAAGATCAGAGTTTTACAGTTACAAAGAACTGAATTCCCTCAAGAGCCAGTGAACGTGGAAGAGGACCCAGAGCCTTAGATGAGATCGCAAGTAGCTGACACTTGAGTTTCAGCTTGGTAAGATGCTTAGCAGAGAACCCAGGGCGGCTTTACTCTGTTTCCTGCCCACAGAAACTGAGTCGATAAACCTGTGTTGTTTTAGGCTCTTCCATTTGTACTATTTGTTCTGCACAAAGGAAAGGGAACGTGTAGGTGAAGAGTGCACACTGGGTGTCTTGGTCCCATGAGACTGACCGCGACCCAGAAGTGCACCAGACCTGAACCCATGTCTGCACTGCCAGCCCCAGCCTCACCACAGCCCAAGCAGGAGGAGGACAGGCCACTCTTTTATTTTTCCTCCCTAAGATCTGAGGAAGATAAGCCATAGGATTAAACACACAGGCCAGGAAAACCTGGTCCAGAGAGCATGCCTGGTGTGGGGTCTTGGTATTTATAAGGCAGTGAGGCAGTGTGGTAGCAAAGCTTGTCAGGAGTACCGGATCTCTGGTCTATGCTTGACCAACAGAGCTTTAGCCCCCAGGATGCTGAATGGGTAAAGGTGACTGGACACTGAAATATCATTTCTCAAGAGGCCTCCCGGAAAGAGGTTCGAGAAGACAAAGAGGTAGAAGGAGAAAAAGAAAACGGAGAACGGCATCCAACAAACAAATATTAATGGTGCACAGTCCTGCTTTGGGCTCCAGAGATACAGTAGTAAATAAAATCCCATGCACTCCAGTATGAGAACTTCACCACAGAGGGGAGCAGAGAAATGAGGCAGAGGTAGAGGCCAATCCGTGAGCAAAATCAGACCGTGTTGATATTCATGTGAGCTGATGTAGTGCAAAAGAAAAAATGAAATGGCGAGAAAAGATACAGTCAATACTAACTATACAAAAAGCAGAGAATGTGTACCGTTCAACAGGTTTGTTTAAGAAGATTTCAGTCTATTATTCGAAGCACTAAGAAATCCACATAAGTTCTGAAACATCATGAATACCCATAAAAATCCACCACCCACTGCAAGGCCTAGGGTACTACCAGTCACAGCTATCTATGGGCACCTCCCTCTTCCACCCCTGCCTCCCTCTTAGAAGAAAGCAACTTCCCTGAATTTTGTGTTGGTTTCCTTGTAAAGTAGATCTTTCTTTGCTACTTTCTATTATAGTTGTTGACTACCTCTTAACTTGGCCTCCTACAGACAGATGTCAGACCATCTCGGTGAGACACCATCATAAAACTCCTCTTTAACATTTAATCTGTAACACTAAAATTCCATTTTTTTATATTTCATCCCCAGCCGATTACTGTTTTGCTTGAAAAACCTGTTATTTTTGGAATAAATATAACAGTCATGTATTATTTATTCTGCACACCTTTCTGTGCACACACACAACAGACCCCAGTGACCAAAGCATTCCTTTTTCACCTGAAGGACACAGCTGCAGTCCAAAACACACGTTGGCATCAGATGCCTATGCCAGCCCCTGACAGCCCATGGAGGCCTTGGAAGCAAGGGTAGCGGCCAGTGATTAGGTGCCTAGGTCTTCCCTGTGGGCCACTGGCTTCCAGAATTCCCAAGAGTGCCAGGAACTGCAGCACTATGATAAATGCCAGCAGGGCAGACCCTCTGCAAACAGAAAGCCGTCTGCACACCTAACCAAAACCCAGCTCCCTCACTTGCTCACTGAAGCTTGAAATTGCTTTAGGGAGAGACAACAGCTTTCATCTCACAGCTAGAGCAACCCTTGAAGACCTGGGTAAATACACTGGTTTAGGCTAGTGCACACTGCTGTAAGTGGACTGAAAGACTGGATGTTGTGATGGGCACCTTGAAAATGAGTGTGAGGGGACAGAACACAAAACAGAGCAAGATGGGGCTTTTCTAGCCTCCTTGGAAGCTCACAATCAGAAGAGCTGGAGCAAATTTGGCCTGTCAGCTGCCTGACAGTAGGCAAGTTTTGAACCTGTTTTCTCTTCCTAAATCGAAGAGATAACTAACGTGGAGACCATTACATTTGTAAAAACAGCCTGGCAGTCCCATATTTTATGGGCATTTGCCTTTCGCATCTTGGTCTCTTCCTATCCGGTCTAACCCTATATTCCTTTCTTAGTATGATAGAGGGTAAGAGGAAGGAACCTGGAAAGGCATCCTGGGTTCCAGTCCTATCACTTGCTGATCAGGTTACAGTACTTAATGCTCTGTGCGTGGTCGTCTCATCCATAAATATGGAAACAACAGTATTTGCCCTTCAGGGTGACTGTCAGGATGAAACAGTGAATATACAGAACACAGAACAGGTCCCCGATACAAACGAAAAACAAACAAAAGCATGGCAAGTAGTGTTTGCTACTAATTATCCGCAGGGCTTTCCCTCACCTGCCCAGGTAGCCAGCAGTAAGCTCCCCTACTTGTGCCTCTGAAGCCACAGGAGCGCATTGCAAATCTGACACGCCTCGCTTCTGGTTCCTAACCCCCCTCACCCCTGGCCACCGCCACCTGCACCTCCACCTGCACCTCCACCTGCACCCCACCTGCACCCCACCTGCACCTCCACCTGCACCCCACCTGCACCCCACCTGCACTCCACCTGCACTGCACCTGCACCTCTGCTTCAGCCGCCGCCCACCTGGCTCCCCACAGTACTTTGCTCCCGCCCCGCCGGCTGTGGTTCTAGCTTCTAGCGTCCTCCGCGGGCCCAGCGCGGGGCGCTCTGTGACGTCTTCGCTTCGGGCCTCCGCGCGCAGTGGACGCCAAGGCACAGCCCTAACAAGGCCGGGTCGCGCCCGCTGCGCCCGCGCTCCAGCCCCCCCTGCCTGGCACCGCCCTCGCCGCCCAGGTCCCGCTGCTCTCCCTCCGCCAAGGGTGCCAGGCCGTGGAGATTTCGCATACCTCCCGCCTGACTGCGGGCGGGAGGTGCCACCTGAAGCCAGACAGCCGGTTTCTGAGCCAGCCTAAGGTAGCAGCCCGGAGGAGGGGATGGGGACGTGGGGCGGGGTGGAGGGGGGCTCTGCTTTCCAGAATGGGCTGCACTGAGGGGCCAGCCCCGCCCCAGGGGCCACCTGGATTCCCGGGCAGAGAGAGGGAGGGCACGAGAATCTAAGGTAACCACAGGGAAGTATTGCTTTCGAACCAAATTGGGTGCGCATTTGGTAGTCAGGATTATTTTATGTCTTACACAAAAAGTAGAGATTTGGAAACAAAATCTCATATCAAAACCCAACCGAGGTGCAGACCTGTTTGTCTGGACATGACTGCACCTTTGGAGGGACTCTGGGGAGGACAGTGCCATGGCTAGCCGTTATAAAATGACACCTTTCATTCATTTTTACCTGTATGTACTGAACTCTGAGTTCCAGGCACTGGGCTAAACATTTGGAATTCTAAGTAAGCAAAAACTGACCATTCCTGTCCTCGCCTTTACAGTCTGAGGAGAAATATGCATTAGTCACAAAATCTCAAAAGTTATGTAAAATTAAAGCTAAGTGCCCACAAGGAGAAAGAGTGGGTAAGTGGTGTCCTGAGACAGTAAAATGGAACTGTCTGCGAGGTCAGGGAAAGTAAGCCCAGTTTTGAGAGAAGAGTTACACTGTGAAAAATCTTGCTGAGATTGGTCAGATGTCCAAAATTTACCCTCCTGCTCCAGACCCAAATAAGGATATACAGTTGCCTGATCCTTGTCCCTAAAGTTGTTTTCAAACTGTTTCTCTGAGATTCTGGAGCTTTCCATTCATGTAACTGGAGACCCATTTCTCTAACATGCCTTGGTCAGCTCACACCAATAAAATCTAATGAGAAACTCCAGAAACAAGCCTTTGGTTGAGATTCGATACGACCTGTATTCTTCAGCGCTAGTGTGTGTTGGCCTGCTGTTCCCCACTGGGAGACAAGTAGATTTCACTTAATAGGAAATGGATTGAATTGTAAGACTTGGAGGTGAGCCTTAGAATGTCTAGTTGAAGAAGGCCCTGCTACACCTAGAGCATAAAGAATGGAAAAGAGCTTTCGAAAATGTTGGAACCATGAAATGTTAAGATAGAGTGTACCTGTCTGCAACTTTTTCAGATCTGACATGGGAAAATGGCCCATATGGCCCAAAGGCAGAAAGCTGAGTTTCAGTGCCTCTCCAGCTCAACTAATCTATGATTCCAAGTCTTTGTGACTCAAGAGTACATGGAACTCCTGAGAATAAGGGGGCAGAGGAGAAGAATTTGATCTGACTCACCTTCAGTGGTCACTCTCCTTGCCCTTAATGGCATCACCGCTGTGTACCCAGTCACCCAAGTAGGAAACTGGAAATCACTCACCATCCCTCTCCTCATCCTTCTCCCCTATTAGTTACCGAGTCCTATGGATTCTCTTTCCAAAATGCCTGCCTCTTAGCCAGCCTTATTTCTCCTACCTTCCAAAGCAATGAAGCTGTCAAGATTTTTCCCCCAAAGAGCTGCCATGTTGCCCTAACCATACTCCCAACCTGAAGCCTCGCCCACACAGGTGTTAGTCAACACATACTTCAGAGTCCTACAGAGAGAAACAAAAGATCTAGTAACTTTAACACAGCAGCTTCATTATAAAGAATTTTTGACAATTACAGGGTTGGAGTAATAGAGGACTATCTAGTAAGATAAAGAGAAAGCCAGGCATAGTGGCACATGCCTGGAATCCCAGTACTTGGGAGACTGAGACAGGAAGATTGTGAGTTCAAAGCCAACATAAGGTATATAGCAACTTTCAGGGTACATAGTGATATCTTATGTCAAAAACAAACAACAAAAGAAATGTAATGCAAGAGCTAAAGAACATATAAATGACAGAAACAAGGAGCAACCACTATCCTTGAGATGAGTTTGAGACCTCTTCCAGAACTTGTTGCGGAGGGCATGGCCACAGCTCACTAGAGGAAGAGAAGTGCAAAAGTTCCAGGCAGGCAGAATCCACGTGCTGGGGTGCCTGGAAAACCATTTATATAAAGGTGACTCACTGGCAGCATTTTGCTACAAAGCTTTCACAAGAAAGTTGCCTGGGTACATTAGTTAGCTTCCCATCACTATAACCAAATATCTGAAGCAATTAACTTTAAAAAGAAAAGTTTATTTGGGCGTACAGTTCTGGAGCTCCCAGTCCTAGATCAAGCAGCCCCACTGCTTTGAGCCTGACAGCACATCACGGGGAAGGTGTGTGGTGGATTATGTCACTCCATGAGCCAAGATGCAAAGAGAAAAAGAAGGCACTGAGGTCCTGCAGTTACCCTCAGGTGCACACTCCCACACAGGGAAAAAGGCTTCTTCCCGCCACCTTTTGCTCTTGTTGCTTTTGCTGTCTTTTGCTGCCTTGAACTTCTGCTCCTCTGCCACGCTGCACTGCCTTGGAGCCAGTGATTAGGACTGAAACCTCCACAAACTGTGAGCCAAACAACCCTGTCCTGCCTTAACTTTGGGTATTGGGTATTTGGTCTCAACAATGAGAGAAAAGTAACTAGGACAAGTATTTTCTCCTTACTCGGTGCTTTTCTGGAAGCTGAGAATATAGCAGTGAACTCACCAGGATACCCTAGGTCTCCAGATATTATCACTCTTTGAAATGTCTTCTGACTCATGCTCCTACTTCTCAATATGTTAGACGTCTCATCGAGGATTCTTTCTTTTGTGCTCCTATTTCTAGTACAGGCTACTTGACACATATCGTGCCTGACTTTAATCAGGGATTTTCCTTTCAGTACTTTGCAGTAAATTCTTACCGTCAGTGTATGTGGCTTATTTATTTCCATATCCTAGTATTTAGCACAACTCCAATAAAACACAAGGTTTTAATGGATCAGTGATTTCCCCAAGGTCGCATCATTAGTGAAAGACAGGCCCTGGGAGCAGGGTATCCTGCCTCACAGCCGGCGGTGGTGCACTAGGGCTTCACTGTCTTTTGAATGTTACATTAGACCTCACTATGAAAGTCAGCAATCTGATGTTTTGTGTTGGAAAAGATCTGTGAAGCATTAAGTACCATCAGGAATGGCAATGGAAATAGGAAAGAAAAGAGCCCAAGTCCAGTCCTGAAAACATGGTGCATTCGTCCACCTCTTGGAGCCCCAGAAATACTACAGTTAAATCTTAAGTAGAGAGGATAAGTAAACGGAGAACTGATGGTGCACAGTTTTCTAATGCTTTTCTCTTAAAGACTGGAGATATTTATATGCTTAGGAAAGACAAGGTCCAGAGGTTTAGCTCAGTGGCACAAGCATCTGCCTGGCAAGTGAAAGTTGTGAGTTCGATCCCTGGTACCAAAAAAGGCAGGACTAAAGTGAATCCAAATATGTACGCCAGGTTCACAATCAGGGGACATTATATAACTTTAGGCAGCATGCAAGTCTATAAACATATCATCGGACGGGATCATATTGTAAAAGGAATGATGTAAAAGAAGTCTTTGAAATATAAGCATGGCTAAATCCAAAAAGGTAGCTGATCACTTGTTAAGTAATAACCACATGAAACTCACGACTTCCAAGAGCTGGTACTAACATGATATATAAACAGATTCGGGAAACATGCTAGTAACAGCCAAAAATTACTCCTCAGAAGATAGACAATGTCCAGGAGGACTGCTTTAAGCAATATTGCTGTTGGCACACAAATGCGGGGTTGGCTTGACCATGGATTTGGCCCACAATAGGATTGACCCAGCTTTCTGTAAAATAAATCTGGAGAAGCAAAGTTAATATGAGTAACACAACTTGTGGAGATCTTGAAAGTTGAGCAGTTCATCATTTTAATGAGAAAAGAAATGAAGACCCAGAAAGGGTCTTTGAGAGACATACGACAGCATAAATGGTTAAGAAGACTTACACGGCAAAACTAGGCCTCAATTCCTTAGCATTTGGAAAAACTTTAATATTAGAACCTACCTATCCATAGGTTGTTATATGGATTAGAAGAAATGATGAATGTACTATAAATGGGCACCCTTCAATTTCCAGCAGCTCTGTAGAATATGGATAAATAAAGAGACAGTGACTTTATTTTCATGACAAACGATTAGAACGTACTCTGACAAACTATTTTTGTTCTATCTCAAGGGATTAAAAAATGAACTTTCCATGATGCCAATGGAATTAATCATCCATAATATTTCGGTATTTATGAGGACATAATATTTGAAATTGGGATTGTCCTAGAGAAAATCCTTGGCATGTACGATCTAACATACATAATCTCAGAAGGTGTAAAGACAGAAAATGAAGGGTTCAGTTCAAACTGGGAGAGGTAATGCTTAAGAACTTTTCCAAACTGATGAAAAGTATCTCAGTGAACTAACGAGGTTAAATAAAAATAAGTACAAATGAGCATATTAGGAAAAATCACAAAAACCAAGATGGAAAAGGTGTATTATTACTTCCAAAGCAGCAACAATAAAACATTTGACTTATTTTCAAACAGAAATTGTGGAGACCAAAAGATAACGGGATTATTGTCTTCAAATAAATGGAAAATAATGGAAAATGTTGCTAACCTAGCAATTGTAGACCTCATGAATATGTCCTTCCAAAAAGACAAGACAGATACATTTCAGGCAAATGAAACAGGGCATATGCCTCTCCTAACAACAACAACAAAAACCCCTCATATTATGGAAAGCATTAGTGTTCTTTAGGTTAAAGGACAATGTTCCTACAGAGAAGTGCTGACCTTCAACAAAGGAGACCAGCAGGTTAAAAAAATGGATAAAATAGTTTAATATTGACAGTTTTAAAAATGTATGTTCACAATAAAATATATGTAGAGGTAAAAGAAATAACAAAAATAGTAGAAAAGATGGGAAAGGGATATGAGTTAAATTATTGTAAAGCACTTTCACTATCCAAGAAGGAAATTTAAGTGTAGACTCAATAAATTAAGGATGTATGTTAGAGTAATCTTTTTAAAAAGTTAAAAAAAATGTGTAACTAAAAAACTAATAGAGGAGAAAAAAATTACAATACTTAAAAATGCTTAATGGCTTAAAAAGGCCAGAAAGAAAGACTAAAGAAACAGATGACAAATCACAAAGCAAAATGGTAAAGAAAATGATGTCAATAATTATGTTAGACACAGATGAGCTAAATGATCCAATCAACAGAAAACATTTTCAGTGCTTTTTAAAAGCTGTTTATATTGTGAATAAAAGGACATGAAAACGTGAAAAGGCCAGAAACCATATACTGTGCAAAGCTTTTTAAAAATATCTGTCAAACCAAGTCAACTTTAAGACAGATTGTAAAGCTAGATATAAAGGTGGACATTTCATAATGATGTTTCCACTCAATAGGAAGATTTTAAAGCTAGATGTGTATATGCTTTAAAACAGCTTGAACATTTAATCAGCAAAACCTGGTAGAACTAAAATAATAGACAAACACTACCATAAACCAAGATTTTAACACACCTCTCGTAATTAGGAATGGAGAGGGAAGACCCAAAAATGTAAATGAGGATGCCGAAGATTTGAAGTACCCAGTTAAGGTTCTTTGGTATCATACCCTTTAACCCAGATTCAGCTCTGTCTTCAGGTGCACATGGAGCATTCACCAAAGTACACAAATAATGACTTGAAATAAACAGTATTATTGATAAACACAGATGACCAGCTACTGAACATTAGGAAATGCTTCAATCACTAGCAAGTGAGTCAACAGATAAAACTGAGCAACACAAACTAAAAAGGAACAGCACAGTTAGGAGAAACAAGATCATACATCCATTACCCAACGGAACAAAGTGTTTCTCGAGGGATCGGTTTGGGGTTTTTTGTTTGTTTGTTTTTGTTTTTACTGCAATAGAGAATCCTAGAAGAATGTGTTACAGGTAATTTCTAGATTTAGAGGTGGAGAAGACTTGGAGATATTATTCAATAATTAGCATCAAGACATGTAGGGGTGAAAGGAGATATCATATAGAGAAAACGGATGTTGGTCTTTAGGGTGTTGTTGTTTAGCTGTGAAAGAGAACTGTATCATTGGAGAGGTAGTATGACCAAATGCAGTTTTTAAAAGAAAGGCAGGTTTTGCCTACTTGATGGAAGACAGAGAGAGGTGGATAACATGGAATTTTCTGGAGAATGTAAAGGGATTAATATCTGGTTTGTCAGATCTTGAGCAGGATGAGAACTAAGAGCCCGAGTGATAAGAGGAGAAATAGCAGTTACAGTGGGGTGGACAAGGGGCGGCACCATTTGTTCTTCGGAATGCACTAAGGACAATAGTCAGGAGGGATGCAGACACAGTTAAATAAGAAACAAAATGAAATGCTGTTGAAGAATGCAAATACTAGCAGAGAAGCGGGAGTGAAGGACAGAAATGATACAAGATTAGAGTGAATGGGAGTGAATGACAGTGTGAGCAAAAATCTTATGGATTTAAAGAATAACCTTGATCACTGGGTGCATACCCCTGAGATCCTAGCACTGGGAGGCTGAGGCAGAAGGATAGTAGAGTTCGAGGTCAACCTGGGCTACATAGTAAGACCTTGTCCACACACACACACACACAGGCACACACACACAAAGAATAATCTGGATCAAAATGTAATTGTCAATTAGCTTATGAAGGTATGATCAAAATATCCAGTAAATATTTAAATTTTAAAATGTAGTATAGTAAGAGGACAATCTGTAATCATCAACTAGTGATTCCTTACTGTTTATTTTTTTCTTTGAAAGTATGTATTATTTCTACTCATTTTCTGTTTTGTTTAGTCTTTCTTTAAATAAAATGTGAAAAAAAAAGACACTACAGTACCCAGTGCTGATCCCGAGTGTCATGATGTGAAATCCAGCAATACTATTATTCTTTGTTCAGAGTGATTATAGCCTACTTTGGTTTGTTTAATCTCAACATAAGTGAAGATATGGATAACTGCATGTATGTTTAAGTGTATAGGATTGACAACCATGTTACTAAGTTTTTGTTGGACAGTTAAACAGCACTGTTTGCAGTCTCGCTGTTTGAATTCCCACTTTATATGCTCCACTTTTGTATCTTGAACAACTATTTGTAAAAGGATAACCTGTAATCATCAACTAGTGATTTCTTACTGTTTATTTTTTCTCTGAACATGTGTTATTTCTACCCATTTTCTGTTTCGTTTAGTCTTTCTTTAAATAAAATTTTTTTAAAAGGTATAATAAAGTGTAGCATAGTAAAAGATATTTTGTCATTACTCCCTCCCCCTCACTTTAAACACACCTAGCCCATGTTCTTGCCACTGGAAGGCATCTTTCGTGTCTTTATGAGGCGTGATTTTCAAAAATAAAGTGAGCCCTACTGCCCAGTGCCATCCAGTGGAAAGGCAGATATGTAAGAATATCACGTTGTGTCCTCATCTAGCTTATCCCAAGATCTAGCACTTCTTTCTTCCCCCAAGTGAAAATGATTATGCAAAGTAATTGTTTTGAGTCTATTCAGGACCTGAACACATCTACAACAGTGCAAATAAAGACAATTGGGAAAGTAGCAACATTATTATTTTTATCTTAATTATTTAATTTAATTATGAATAATTTTACATATTAATATCTATTAATAAGTAATACTAATATTATTTTTTACTCATTTTGTTTTTATTTTATTTATTTTTTATTATTTACTAGTGGCAACATTTATTATTACATTTAACTTGAATAGAATTCTCAAATAAATATTTGAAACAAATTAAACTTACATGTAATGATTTTATATTATATCAAATTTTGTGTTGAAATGACTACATTCGATTTCTGATCAAAAAATTTTAATGATATTCTCTTCAAGTTCTTGCAGTCACCATCATAGATTGGTCTTACCAATTTACAGGACATTTATTGCTTTTCTGTAATTGACAGAAACTCTGTTCCCACCGTTAACCAGAATTTAGACAATTTGATCTATTCTCTTTCAGTGAAATTCTTCTGTCAATGTGAATGGATTTCTAATACACTTGAACTTTTTCACATCAGAAATTTCCAAGTCATGTGACATGTAGATGTTTTTCTACTAGTCCTCAGAATCAGAATACCAGTAAACCTTCTCATAGAACTACTACAAACTTACTTTTTGTTTGAGTCCAGTAACTTTGGTAGTAAACCTTATATTTTCACACGTTCCTTGTGATTTTGGTTTGTTTGGCGGTACGGGGTTTGCACCCACAGGCTTTGCATTGGTCTGAATCCTCAGCACTCCCTCCCCTCTTTTATGAGTCAAGACCTCATTAATTCACTAAGTTTCCCAGGCTGGGCTTGAATTGATGATCTATCTTCTTCAGCCTCCCAGAGTGCTGGTGACACATCACAGACATGTGCCACCACCCCCTCATCTCTGGCTTCCTTGTGATTTTTTATTATGTGTTACTTAAAAATGTCAAGTAACCCAGCAATCAGGAGGCCGAGGTAGGAAGATCACTGTGGGTTCAAGGCCAGCCTGAGCTACATAGTGAAACCCTGTCTCAAAGGAAAAAAGTCAAGTAAACCAATTTCTTGAAGTCAATAAATTCTTCTGAATTCTACTATGTAAAGATAATTGATACTTTTTTTTGTCTTTTTCCTTTTTATCGGTACCAGGGATCGAACTCACAACTGCCTGCTTGCAAGGTAGGCGCTTATGCCGCTGAGCTAAATCCCCAGCCCCTAACTGATACTTTTTAAAATTCCTCTTTTCACTCCTAAACTTCCAGAAAACAAAACAAAATAGAACCTTTTTGTCATATCTTAACAGCAGAGACTCATCACGTGTAGTTAAAAACAGGTAGAACCATACTAGCCTGGATTTTTTTTTAATACTCTAGGTTGAACACAAGGCCTAGCGCTTAGCTGGATCCTGACCACACTCCCCCTTTGGTATCTCACTGAGCTGCATAGCTCTTGCCCCAGGCCCCTAAGTGGCTGGAACAGTAACCATGAGCCACGATGCCCAGATCTGGATTTTCTTATAAACATCCTTAAAGCAGAACTCACACCTACGGATGAATGTACAGAGAAGAGTGTCTACGTGAACAACCCACAGTCCTGCGTGTATCTCAGTGTTCAGAACTCAGGGAAGAGACAGGATGTAGAACTTTCTCGCTCCCTCCTGTCACACAGCTTTCTGCCAACATGAACCCTCCCATTTGCAGAATATGCAGAATCCAGAAAATCTTACTTGATTTGAGCTATTTAGTTACTACTAGAAATATTTTATCTTGAGTAGTTCACTGTGGTGGACTGTTAGTGCAGGATGGTGACTCACCCAGATGGTCTAACCAGGTCTATCAGCCCATGCCGTCACTAACATCTGTAGATGCGTCACACTGCAGGGAATTTCGTCTTCTGATAGCAGTATTCCAGAGTAGCTCTTTTTATTTTTCCTTTGTTTCATTTAGTCCCAAACACGTGCTTGTTTCTCAGGCAGAATGGTAGAAGCCAATTATGGAAGAGAGTTGGTTTTGTTTATCAATCATGTGACTTTAGTTAGCTTCAGGAGAGTGGTTGTAAATATTTGGTAAGCAGTTGCATAAAGAAGTGTATGCAAAGTGTGATTTTAAGGATTTTTGGAGATAAGCGATTATTGCTTTTCGTTTCTAAATTTTTAAAGCTTCAAGTAAGTACAAATTCAAACTAACTGTGATGGTGCTGCGTTGGTATTGAGTAGAGAAGAGAGAGTAAACCTTGGAGCTGCGAGTTTGGGAGAAGTTAAATACCAGCACATTGCTTTTCACAAGAAGTTCAAAAGAAGAATTTGTGTGCCAAAGCAGTAAGTTTTACAGATTTTTTTCAGTCTAGTTTCCTTGCAGGGAGCTTGTACCGCTAGAAAATATTTCCCATAGGCAGGTAAATTGCACACATCTTTCAGACATCTCAGATTCTGGCTTTCTCAACTCTGATGTCTTTATTTGGTATCTGCAGTGGTGGAGCCTAAGAAAACAGATGGTTTCTATCTTATTTTACTGGGATTCTCTCATGGGCCATGTTTAAGATTTTTGTAAGAACACGACACTAGTGTATCAGCACTGCAAATTTCTATAGGATTTAGGTTGATTGGGTTTTTTTTTTTTTTTTCAGATAATAAACCCAGCAGATCCACCAGTCTTATTTTTGTTTCTGGTACCAGGATTGAACTCACAACCTGGTGCTTGCTCATAGTGCATTGGTAACACAGCTGTCATTGATTTTATTCCATGAATTCTTCACCCAAATCACGACTTCTTGCAGGATAGAATTTACAGTTTCCATTAAATGAAGTAATAATTGAAGATTTATGAGGCAGGTGCAGCAACAAAAAAGATGACAGTTAAGAATGATGGTACCAACAACAGCAAGAAAAACTCACGGGCACCAAAATTCAGAAAATGTTTCTTTGTTTCATGTGAGTGCATTAAGTATGTCCATTACAACACATGATGCCTTGGATATATAGATTCATATTAGACACAATCTTATCTGTTCATTACCAAGTATTCATGTTACTCCTGGTTGAGTCTGGACCCTGACTGGTGATTTGTCCTGGATTCATCTGCTACACAGGCATTTACCACTAGGCCAAAGGCACCCATTTGGATATTTACAAATACTTCATTGTAACTGATATTATTATTTAAGTATCAATGTCAATAACATTTATATTCAGTTATATATTAATATTGTAATTCAATACATCCAGCATGTGTTGCGACAGATGTACTAAATGCATTCGTCTGGCCAACAGTCTTAACTGGAGCTTATTTTGTGGTTAGGGCTTATATTACGGGCATCCTGAAAAACCATGGTAGGGCTTATTTTCCAGTTAAACCTTATTTTCAGGGAAATATGGTATCTAGGAGTGTATGGCTGAATCAAATGGTAGCTCTTTTTTTAATTTTTTGATTTTTTGCCTCCATACTGATTTCTGTACTAATTTACATTCCCACAGAAGTGTAGACTGGTCCCCCTGCCTCATCCTCACCACCATTTATGTTTTTTTGTATTCAAATGACAGCCATAATGGCTTCCTTTAAGTGTCTTGTTTTTTTGTTTGTTTGTTTGTTTGTTTTGCTTTGCTTTTTCTTTTTTATCGGTACCGGGGATCGAACTCACGACTGCCTGCTTGCAAGGCAGGGCTTATGCCGCTGAGCTAAATTCCCAGCCCCCCTTTAAGTGTCTTCTGTAATGCTGGCTGAGTGGTTGTGAATTTCTTTAGCTTATGTTTACCACAGAAAGTTTTTTATTTCTTTTTCAGTTTGGAAGGATAGTTTTGGTGGATCTAGTAGCTAGATCAGCAGGTATTTTCTTTTAGGGCTTGACTACATCATTCCAGGCTCTCTTGGCCCTTAGTATTTCTGCTTAGAAGTCTGAAGTTATTCTGATGAATTTCCCTCTAAGTGACTTGGAATTTTTTCCTTATTGCTTTTAATATTTTCAACATTTTAATCCATAACTGGCAGGCTCCAAGGCAGGGTGGCATGGCAGAAGAACATGGCAGAGGCCAAAGAGTTCAAGGCACAGCAAGCAGGAAGCAACAAAGCTCACCTACCCTCTGTCCCTTTATATTTTACCCAGGCCACAAACTGATTGGTTGATGCCACCCATACCCTGAGTGGGCTTCTGTTTTTGGTAAATGCATTCAGCCAACCCCAGAACCATGGTAATCCAATCCATGAATCAACCCATATTGCAGCTACTTCTGAAAAGCCCCACTTACAAGTACATGAGACTTTGGGGGACATCTAGATATAAGCCATAACATCATTTCAACTATAATGTGATAAGGAGAAGCACATTTCTGATTGTGTCTGTTTGGGATTCTAAATGTTTCCTGTACTTGGATATCTGTATCTTTCCCAGAATTTAGGAAGTTTTCTGTTATTGTTTCCCTAAAAAAATTCTCTCTGCCAAATTCCTAAAGTTTTGTCTTATAAACATGTCCCAGGGCTTCTGCATATTTTGTTCCCAATGGGAGGGAATCTTTTTCCTCAGCCTTACTTCAGGCCCTGAAACACTGCTTTTCACCTGGTCCTGTTTGTTGGCAAGGCTCTCCACTGAAGTTTTGATTTGATTTATGGTAATTTTCATTTCCAGAGTTTGTTCAGTTCTTCTTCAGAATCTCTGTGTTGAATGGCTCCTTTATGTCCTTCAGTGTCTTCTCTAATTAATTTAGCTGTTTAATAAATTTATAAGGGATACAAATAATAATCATCTCAACTAGTCTTTTGAATTCTTTGGTATTTTATCCACTTCTATATCTTTACATTCAGTTACTAAATGCATTTTAGTGAATTATGAAAATTTGGATGGGTCCTGTTGGGTTTTTTCCCCACAGTTATTGTGTTTCTGTTTTGAGTTATGTATTTGTTGGTATGGATACCTCTATTGTTTGTATTTAAAAGTCATTTTGGAGTCCATCCTTCTTTTGAGGACTTGAGTCCCAGCACCACTCAGAGAGGAAAACATGAACTACAGTAATGTCAACAGTACAAAGACAAACAAAATATTACATACAGTAAAGGAAACTGAAAGCAACAACTATACCATCACTAACAATAAAAAAGTAATCTACAATAATAATATAAACTAAACAGCTAAAAATTATTAGAAGTTCATAGTGACGATGATAATATTGATGATGATGATACTATTGATGATGATGATGATATTGATGATGATGATGGAAAAGGTAGAAAAATGGAAAAATATTTTTAAAATAAAGATGAAAAGGAGAAAACAGGTAAAAAAAATCCAATAAAAGAGTTTAAAAAGCAAATATAATTAGGTAAAAGTAATAGAAAAAAGAAGAGAACAGGAAAAAATAAAAAGGAGAAAGAAGTGAGTCTAAAAATCTCCTACATGTTGATGTGTTTGGTGGGTGGTTTCCAGCTCTGTAGTGTTAGCACCCATCAGATGTGGGGTAGCCATAGTGACTTACCCCTGGGGCCTGTTACATTTCCACATAGTACTGAGTCTTTCCCCACCTTTCCCACTGGGGTGGGAGGTCAGTGGATGGTATGTCATCTGCCTCAAGATTGTATTTACCTCAGGAGCTATTAGTATTTTTTTGTGAGCACTTGTGTATCGTGATCCACTGTTATCTCTGAGTAGTTTTGCAGACTGTGAGTATATGAGGTCCCCCTCTTGCTCCAGAGCAGCTCTGTCCATTTACCCAGGGACATGATAAATGTATAGGCAGAACATAGTACTGATCATATTGGTGAAGGGAGAAAACAAACAGATCACTGAGTTCTGTCCTGGATGTAACAGCGAGGAGAGGTCAGCAGTCCACTGGATTCAGTCGCAACACTTCCAGATTCAGCCCTTCATAAAAGCATACACAAGCAGCCTAGCTCCTCACCTTAGAGGGTGAGACCAGTGTGGTCTCCACAGCCTGAGCCTCCTGCTGCTTACTCTTCTGAAGGGGTCTGTGGTTAACCCTCCCTCTCTCCACAACTGTCTCCTGTGGTAGTCACATTCCCAGTCACCACAGCAGAGTGACTTCCGAGGTCCTGAAATGCAGTCGTTCCCTAACTTCTGACTCCCAGAGTAACTCAGTCTTAAACAAAAAACTCCTTCTCAAAATGGCTTCAATCACTCTTAAACATGGGCACTGCAGTGGATTTCTTCTCCAAAGCTGCTCTGCCATGTAGAGT